TTTGACATTGGTCTCAGCGGGATCTTCTCGAATTCCATGTCTACTCGGACAAGGGAAACAAAATAAAAAATAAACAAGTGGGACCTTATCAGACTAAAGAGCTTCTGCAAGGCAAAGGAAACCAGGATCAAAATGAAAAGACAACCCACCAACTGGGAGAAAATATTTGCAAATCATATATCCGACAAGGGGTTAATCTCCATAATACATAAAGAACTCACACAACTGAACAAAAAAACAAACAACCTGATCAAAAAATAGGCAGAGGATATGAACTGACATTTTTCCAAAGAAGATATACAGACGGCCAATAGGCACATAAAAAGATGTTCAACATCACTAATCATCAGGGAAATGCAAATCAAAACTATACTAAGATATCACCTTACACCCATTAGAATGGCTATAATCACCAAGACAAAAAATAACAAATGTTGGAGAGGTTGTGGAGAAAAAGGAACCCTCATACACTGCTGGTGGGAATGCAAACTGGTATAGCCACTATGGAAAACAGTATGGAGATTTCTCAAAAAATTAAAAATAGAAATACCATATGACTCAGCTATCCCACTGCTGGGTATTTCTTGAAATCAACAATTCAAAGAGACTTATGCACCCCTATGTTCATTGCAGCATTATTCACTATAGCCAAGAAGTGGAAGCAACCCAACTACCTATCAACTCATGACTGGATAAAGAAAATGTGATGTGTGTGTGTGTATATACACACACACAATGGAATACTACTCAACCATAAAAAAAAACACAAAAATCGTCCCATTCACAACAACATGGATGGACCTTGAGCGTATTATGTTAAGCAAAATAAGCCAAGCAAAATAAGAGAAAGACAAAACACGGTACGAATTCACTCATATGTGGAAGATAAACTAACACACGGACAGAGAGAACAGTTTAGTGGTTACCAGGGTGAAGGGGGTTGGAGAGTGGGCACAAGTGGTGAAGGGGTGCATCTATATGGACAAAAAATAACGTACAACTGAAATTTTACAATGTTATAAACTATTATGACCTCAATAAAAAAAAAGTAATTACTACAGATTAAAAAGGAATGTAGATCAAGGGAAATACAATGCATAACTTAAACAAGTCAGATGTAATAGACATTTTTTAAATAACTAAGGAAAAATGAAAATGTACTGGGTATCAGATAATATTAAGAAATTATTTAAAACAAAAAATTTCTATAAACAACTGCTACTTCCTATACTCTCACCTTGACAAAAACTAAATGAGGAGAAAACAACATGAGTAATTTTTTCAATGTAGGACCAATTATGGAGAGGAAAATCATTATGGTGGGTTTCAAATAAATAGTAAGAAATATTAATGAAATGTAGAGAGAAAATATTAATCTATAAAGTTAAAAAGATCAAAAGTAACATTTCTACTTAATAGACTAAGCATCAACTAGTAATCACTAACAGTTATTCCTATCAAAATATATTATGACTAAACCAAAAATTTAAACACGTTATCATCCATTACACATTAGATATCAGCCTGATGTGACAGATGTTATTCTGTGATAGCCAGTGAGTTCTAGCCCATGCAACTGCCAAATTATGAAAAATGATACTAATCATAAGAAATTCTAAAATAGCACTGTGGCAATAACCTTGCAGCAAAGAACTGTAAACCAAATGGCAAAATAAACAGTGAACTAAAAACTCTAAAAATTTATCTACCATTGTCTTGGAGAGATTTAGGTCATGATAATTGTATTAGTCATTCTATTTCACAAATTCTCACCTCTTTTGGAGTTTTATGGGCTGCACAAAGAAAAATCCATTGTTCGGTTGCTGTCATCTGAGTACATGTATCTGGATGGCATTCACTCTGTTAACAACAGTTACATTTCTTAATATGTAAAATAATAATGAAAAAGTTTACTATTTGGGTTATTACATTTGCATGTAAAATTCTAGAATAATTAGAAATTTTGCCTTTGTAAGCACATTAAGTTACAAAAACAGGAAAAAAATCAAAACTTTCAATTATAGTTTTAATTTAAAGAAAATAAATTACCTGAAGTTTGACAGCAAGTCCATTTAGCTCAAGACAGAATTGCCTAAAAATGCAAATACATAAATGAAAAGTCTTATCTATTCTCCACGTTATTTTTAGAATATTAATTGTAAAAACAGAATCCCATTAGGACCATCCTTCCTCCCTCATCACTATTAGCAACACCACCTGAATGTACGTGGCACATTTTGTAAAAAGACATACAGATTAATAAACAAAACCCAGAACTAATGACCTTAGTAGTGTTCCATATTAGAGTTGATCAATTTTATACACTGGACACTGGTGCAATTTTTCTGAGAAGTAATTTGGAAATATTTACCAAGACCCTTAGGAAGTGTATATTTTTTGACTAAGCCATCTCCCAAGAATCTATTCTAATGCAATAATCAGAACTGCATGCAGATACACTATGTACAAAGAAGTTCACAGGACTACATATATATATAAGAAAATTGTTTTTGAAACATTCTAAATGATTAGCAATTGGAGAGTAGTAAAATGCTGGTATATACCTAAACATACAAAGGATATATGTTTATATGCACAGTAAGATTCCAGTTATGTAAAAAATTGTGTGTGTGTATATCTATATATAAACAGATACAGAGAAAAAAGACTAAATGTTTTATACTCCTATATATTTTACAAGTTTTGTTTTGATTACAAACGATATGTTCCTTATAAAAACTTCAAACATGTCCAAATATATAATGTAAAAGAAGAAAGTACTCCATAATTTCACCACCTCTTCCCAAAAGATAATTAGCATTTACATGCAAATTTGATTTTCTATGCACAGATTAAAATATATTGGGATCACATCATACACAATTTTGTAACTTGCTTTTTTGTCACTTAATAGATCTTGGGCATTTTTTCATGATATATTTTCCTCCTAAAATTGCCAAACTGAGAATTATCAAGCGTAGAACAACGCTTGGAACATAGTAAGTGCTCAAAAAATATTTTTGAATAAATGAAGAATGGAAGAAATTACATGACATTGAGATCATCATTTTTAGACAGACTTGTTATCTGATATGAAAAGGCAATTAATCCTCTATGTCACAAAGATAACTTACTTTGTAGCTGTCAAAATACTGAATGTATTCCCCCTAAAAATCCTATCAAATTAATCACTACAACGTTTCCCCATCAAATAAATGAGAACACTTTGGTTCCCTAAAAATGCAAAGCTAAAACCTACATCATTAGAACATAAAAGAGAGTCCCAAAAGGAAAAAAAAAAAAAACTGCACATATATGAAAGAAAAACTATATTCATTTATTTACTTATCTATTTAAAGTACATTACAATAGAAGAAAGCAAATAAAAAGACAAGGGTCAAATTTTCAGTTGTGTATAATTTTCTTTCCAGGTGCCTAATAATGCTTTTCTTAGATTACAAAAATAACACTATTTCTGAATCACCACATCACCCTCTACTGCCCCATATCTACAGGCTGCATATTATGTTTTTATTTTTTTTTTGAGGAAGACTGGCCCTGCACTAACATCTGTTGCCAATCTTCCTCTTTTCTTTTCTTTTTTCTCCCCAAAGCCCCAGTACATAGTTGTGTATCATGGTTGTTGAGGTACAGCTCTTCTACATGGGACGCCGCCTCAGCATAGCTCGATGACCAGTGAGTAGGTCCGTGCCCAGGATTCAAACCAGCGAACCCTGGGGCCGCCAAAGCGGAACATGCAAACTTAACTGCTGCGCCACCAGGCCAGCCCCCGTTACATGTTTTTGAGTTGTTTTCCACTAAAGAAAGACAGGTGGGGCTAAACAAGTTTCTTGTCTAGTCCAACCCACTTATGGCCAATAGCAAAATTAAGCCACCTGATTTGGCAGTATTATGAGTAAAATCTGTGGCGAACAGTGCAATCATATTCAAGTTAATTCAACACACGGCTAATACATATAGTTCTGCGGCTGAAGAGACAAGTCAGAGCTGAAATCCAGCCTACACTCTCTAGTCACTAAGCCATGCGTCCTGGCACGGGACTGCATCCACTAAGAGAAAAGGGCGTCTTTTCCCAATTACAAAGATTCAGTACAGACTAGTCGGAGAGTTGACTGAAGTCATGACCCAATTCCCATTAACATCATAATATAATCAACTGCATTAACCAATAACGGCAAGTATTAAGCCTCAAATCAATAATATCAAGTACATGCAAAAAACCAAAAGGCTACTTTTGAAACTCTTCTTGGTCAACTACAAAGATGTATACACTATGACAAAGAGACAAAAGAATATATATGTGATATATAATACGTAAATACAAAACAAAACAAGGGCCGGCCCTGTGGCTTGGTGGTTAAGTGCGCGCGCTGCAATGCTGGTGGCCCGGGTTCGGATCCCGGGTGTGCATCGAGGCACCACTTCTCCGTCCATCCTGAGGCCGAGTCCCACATACAGCAACTAGAAGGATGTACAGCTATGACATACAACTATCTACTGGGG